AACTGAAAATGGTGTAACTGGTTTTAATTGGAAAGATTGGGTTGAAGATGTTAATTTTGAATGTGTTGAAAACATAGTCGCAGATTTTTGTGTACCTAGGAATGAAGAGGAAGCGTACTCTGCACCAAACGTGCATCCTCATCGAGAAAGCAATTTCCAAGCCTCCATGGTGCAGGTTACACAAGTGCAATCTGAAAATCTGCAACAATCAAGTTGGACTCAAATGCATACAAGCCTGATTCATTTGGTGCATGGTAAGAGTGTGGAAGATATTGATTATGGTGGAGGTATTTCTTGCATAAATTGGGAAGCAAATTTTAAGGTTGGACGAGTTTTTCCAAATAAGATTGCCCTTATAAAAACCTTATGTTTAGCAGCAGTCAGAGGCCACTTTCGATTTAAAACAGTCCAATCTGGGAAACATAGGTTGTGTGTTCGTTGTTGGCAACTTCCTTGCCCTTGGCGACTTCGGGCATATAAAGTTGGATTACATGAGTTTAGGGTTGTTAAATACGATCCATTTCATGAATGTGATCTAAGGTATCTTAGTAGTCACCATCCTCAAGCTAGTACGGGATTGTTGTCTGACTCTGTGAAACGCAGATTCAAGGATTCTCGCACCATTTATACTGCAGGTGATATCATCAAAGATGTGCGACAAAATTTTGGTGTGACCATAAGCTACTCTAAAGCTTGGAAAAGCCGAGAGTTAGCTTTAAAGATAATTAGAGGGTCTGCAGAAGAATCATATGCTCTTCTCCCTTCCTATTGTTATGAATTGGAGCGTACAAATCCTAGAACTTTGACATACATTGAGATTGATGCAGCCAACCACTTTTTATATATTTTTTTATGTCAATTGTTCCCTTCCTATTGTTATGTATTGGAGCGTACAAATCCTGGAACTTTGACATACATTGAGACTGATGCAGCCAACCACTTTTTATATTTTTTTATGTCAGTTGGTGCATGCATAAGAGGATTTAAGTGCTCAATGCGTCCTGTGATTGCTGTTGATGCTACCCATTTGAAGTGCAAGTACAAAGGTGTTTTGTTTGTTGCCACCGCATTTGATGGAAATCGTAATATATATCCTCTTGCCTTTGGGATTGGAGATTTAGAGACGGATGCGGCTTGGGAGTGGTTTTTCACAAAACTACATTGTGCAATTGGTGATTGCTCGAATCTTGTTGTCATATCTGATCGAAATCTTAGCATAGAAAATGGGTTGAAAGGAGTTTTTCCTGAGGCAGCACATGGTGTTTGCTTTTATCACTTGAAGGGCAATATGAAAGCCTCATTTAAGTTGAAGAAGCGGGATCCGATATTGGGGTTTTTTGTGCGGGCGGCTAAGTCTTACCGTCTAGCAGAGTTCAATCGTTATTTCTCCATGATAAACAACGAGCGAGTGCAAACTTATCTAGTACGTGCAGGGCTCCATAAGTGGTCTCGAGCCCATTGTGATGGACGACGATATAATGTCATGACAACTAATATTGCAGAGTCCATTAATTCAGTTCTTCGTTTTGCAAGGATGCTTCCGGTGGTACACTTGATCGAGGAAATTAGGAATATGCTTCAGAATTGGTTTAGTCAACGTCGAGATTTGTCAATGAAATGTAAATCTATGTTGTGCCCTGATTTAGGTGAAAAGAAGTTGAGGAAGAGATTAGACGCTGCTTCGAGGATGAATGTGGTTAAAATCAATGATATGGAGTATAATGTGCTTGATGGTGATATGAACGGTCTCGTGCACTTGCAAAACTATAGTTGTACGTGTAGGAAGTTTGACTTAGAGCAACTCCCGTGCAAGCATGCTATTGCGGTATGTCGGCACTTGAAATTGAACCCATACTCATTTGCCTCTTTATATTACACTCAAGCTACATGGGCAGCTGCATATGCTGAATCCATTTATCCTGTACCACCTCAAGGGACATGGGTTATTCCCGAAAATGTCCAAAATGTAAATCTCCTCCCTCCTATTTCAAAGGTTATGCCGGGCCGTCGTAAGAC